ACAAACATAAATACTATTCTCGAAACTAAACTAAAATACGTACATTCAGACAGCTGAAAACTGATTTTACACTTGAAAAATGTCCTGAAATTATTTTTAAAAAAACATCCACAGATCATCTATGACTAAACTGAGGATAAGTGCCCACATACTTCAGATTGAAGTTGGGCGATATCACAACATAGATATCTTAAATAGAACATGCCCTGTCTGTGACTCCAATGAAATTGAAGACGAAGAACACTTCCTCTTAAATTGTAACCTGTTCAAATCTGAAAGAGATGCTTTGTTTGAAAACTTAAACATATCCGGTAATCTGAAAGCATTTCTCAATAACAAAAATTCTAAAACTGTCCAAGCAATTGCCAAGTTTATCAGTGACTGTTTTACTAAAAGAGAGATCTTCATGAAAAGCAAATTACCAGCTGCCTCAAAATAACACCAACATATTTATATAATAATATTTTTACAGTATTACTATTTATTTTCTATACATTTTTTTATTGTTATTATTCCTTATGTATTTTATTGTTCCTTATATCCTTATTGTATTCTATTCTAGATCCCATAGGGGATACGATATCAATAAAGGTTGTTATTATTATTGCATATTAACTTTTTCCAACTATGAAGTATTAAATGATGATTTTGTATACTTAAAACGCGCGTAGGGATCACAATGATTATGCCAAGGAAATACATTTCTCTTTTTCGACAAGGAAAACAATTGGGTCTTATCTTACATGAATAGCAATAAACTACTGGAATAAGAGCGGTGCATGTAAGATAATTATTTATGTCGTGTACAGAAATAATGAAGCTATAATAAAAACTCAGGAGCTCAATAAATTATTAGTTTGCATCCGATTTATAATTTAGCATGGACTACATTTTATTAAGAAACAAGCAAAACAAATAATAATTACTAAATCAAATATGGCTATGTGGTCATTTCCGGCAATATGATATTTTTGTCTCATTTCCTATGTTTGCTCATTAACAGAAATTCTCGTTCTTTTGACAGACTTAATATATTCGAATAATAAAAATAACTTGAAGGCAACACTGAACTAGGATGTCCAGGCTTAGTAATCTGGTTATTATGATATTGTGATTATGCCTATCAGATTAAGGTCACGAAACAAAACATGAATTACCTAATCATAGATAAGTCTTCAACTGTTTGGGCAATCATATGTCCAATATATAGTTTTCTAGTTGTATTTACGAATAATTTACACTTCATGCCACCTTGTATTTTGATTTTTTTCAGAACAGCCACCTAATGTATCTTACGTTGGGTGCTACCGTCAGTATGAGCATGAAAACTGGGTTGAGATTTCACGTAGAACGTTTACTCCCGGCAAATGTGTCAGACACTGTGCTAAATATGGTTTATTATTTGCATCAGTGAGAGTGGATGATGAAGTTAAATGCTACTGTGATAACATGTATGACCGAACACGACCAATGGATAAATCTAATTGTAGCACACCCTGCCCGGTTAATAAGAACTACTTCTGCGGGGGCACGGACAGTGTATCTGTGTACTACACCGGAATACGTACGTAGTATGCCAACTACATCGTGAATAACGCGAAATGATATGATATGATATGATATATAACTGTATTCTAGAAAGATATGTCGAACATTGACTTATCTCGTTTTCCTTTTATCTTTTCATAGCTTATCCAAAACTAGACACGTGTGGATTCGGTGATGAAATCGGATTACTTCTTAATTCCCAAAAATGTTTATGGTTTTCAATGGAAGCAAAAACGTGGATGGAATCTGAGCAGGACTGTGTTTTACGCGGTGGACATTTAACAAGAGTACAGGACAAGGTCACTCTGGTATGTCTTGTTATATATGATATTAGAATAATATAGTCAGTGAAATATACAAGTGACTATTGTTAGTGTAGTGTCTGTACACTGTTAACATTAATAGAACAACACTTTGTTGAACGATTCATTAGTTCGTGTTACGTGTAATATAATAATGAAATGTGAACATCAAGAAAACAAGAGAGATGTTTGTATATCTGCCTTCGACGAATGGGTTTTTTAATAATCTTGTCATAGATAACAAACATATGAAATGCTCTCAAAGGAAATACACAAATTTCACAGAAGAGAAAATATAGAATGATAATGGCAATAAAAACATTGCAATGAATATTGCATTGGCCAAATTTATTTTAAAAAATCAAACACTTGATTATGAGAAGCAGAACCTTTTGTCAACATCACATAATCTTTATTTTATATTGTTTTTTGTACCACGACAGAATTGAAATGTTTACATTATATAGGTGTCCTAGTTTAAGCTTGCTATGTGTGAGCGTGCATTCCTGTAGTAAAGTGTTGTATTGTAGCAGTAGTGTTATGACATGCATGAATTTCGTCCTGTAGTTAGTCTTTCAATGTAACTTTTTTAATTCCCCCCGGGGGGGTTAAGCGTTTCAGTGAATATACATGGTTTCAATCACATTATTTGTCAATTGGATATAGCTGTACAAATCGTATGAATGACATATTGTGGCGTTCAATGAACAGGAAAAATATTGTGATTGTATTTACAAGATAACAGAAACAACGTAATCTGTTATTTTCCCCCAACGTAAAGATAATGTATCCTATGAATTATTGCCTTGAAAACCAGGGATTGAATCGCTATCATCAATTAGGCATTATGGACAAAGGTTCAGAGCAAAACAGCTAAAAACGTGCTTATATTCATTATTTACACCTTGTCAAACAAATTACTTTTTCTGAAATTTAATTCATAACAAATCCGAGAAAGATAATCTACGTTTTGAAAATATGTCGCTTTTGTCATAGTGTATATTTGTCATTCAATGCTTCGTAAAATTGTTAATAATTAAGTAATGCATGATGAACTAGTAAAAGTATCATCAACACAAATTTATAAAAAAAGTTCTAAATTCTAAATGAAGTATTCCCAATATTACATTTCTTAACCAGGTAGAAAACTCTTCACATTTGTTTCATGGTCCAAATACAAGACCATACAATATCTCTTGCTTAAACATCGGTTGGTTTGGTTTTAGGTATTTTAATCAGCGTTAGTCAATCTGTACTTAGGTATCTATACGAGTGTTCACTCAGTAGCGTTGAGTATACTGGCAAACATCGCTAAGTCATTCTTGCCATGTAATGATTGGCGCTTAAACGCTACAGTCGTCGCTCCACGTCGTGTCCGATATAAAACCCATAGCGTGTAATATTTTGTTTGTTTACATAATATTCGGACACGCGCTATTTTACGACCTTAAAAATGATGGAACCATTTACATTTCACGTAAAATATATTGTAATTTCATACAACAAATAATATGAATATGTTCGTGCTTCACTGTTCATTGCGGTTTAGTAGGATCTGCATAATCTAATCTGAACAAAAGCTCGAAATGACATATTCGTGTATGAACGACACATACTTTAGGAACTTTAAACATTAACGCATTTAAAAAAAATAGTGTAATAACACTACACAACATTTCTGATTAATTCTCAGGAGGCAATTGTCTACCATATTTTCGAAGCGTATAGAGGGTTGGAAACGTATTCGTACTGGATTGGTGCAAATGACTTAGAGCACGAAGACCAATTCATCTACAACGACATTGATGAGACAGTAGTTGACACAGAAACAGACTTGTTTTACAGTGGTGAGCCTAACAATTTAGGGACCAATGGACAACAGTGCCTAAGTGAGTGACCAATTCATTGATTTATATTACATTGCCAAAATCTTTCTTTTTTGGAATATACAATATAAATCGTAATCCTGATGTAAGTAGATGTTCAAACTTCAAATTTGTTTTTACAGTTCTGTTGAATGACTTTGGGTTTCGGATTGATGATATGTGGTGTGATATGTCGCATCGTTATATATGTACACCTAATGACATCATAGGTAAGGGTATTTCCTATTATATTACGTTAATTGTACTATATACATTGCTTTTATAATCTCACAAATATATTTATATAAAGCCACACATTATTTGAACAATGCCCGCCACTTCTTAAGTATCTCGCGAATAAGTTGAATCACAGACAAATGTAAGTGCAAAGCCCAAATTTAGCAGTTTTATGCCGAATTTTTAATACATTATGAATAACAAACACGTGAATGAGTCTATACAGGGTTAGTAATTCTGATTGTAGATTATAAGTGAATAAGGCTGAATTAAGGATGTATATCGTGATTTATGTAATTGAGTATGTGTGAGTTGTTGAATAACGGTTAATTTACAGCATTAGTATCATCAATTCGGCGGATCTTGTCAAGACAATTCCAAAACCACAATAACTCAGTGTAGAATAGTGGTAAATTTGAGAATGAATAGTCAATGTTCGTCACAAAAAGTCGTTTCGTGTATGTCAGCTTAGCTACTTTGCTTAGAAACAAATTTGTGAATCTGAGACTCGCGTGGTTATTGTCGTCGTAAAGATACCTTTGTGTGTAATTAACTCGCATATCTTTGGTGCTTGAAGCAATATCAACATTTTGACCGCTTTTATCAAGTGAGAGAAGAAGTTTATCAGCAGGAATCCAATGACAGCCTTGGAACAAAAAATTCACGAGTAAACGTATGTGACAAACGGTGTTAGTCGGTGGAGACAATGAGTTGAGTCGGTACAGCAACTGAGATGCAATAATGTGGTTTATACCAAGTGTGCGGCCTCTATATGACATTACGGCAGCAAAATGCGACCAGAATTCAATTTTGTTTCTTTCTTTTTGAACCAACTTAACCCAATCTCTGTCTGTGTAGTTCTTGTCATTCCCCAAGTATCACCTAGTAATTTAAGACTATTTGATGTTTAGTGACGAGTCTGTGTGGCCACGCCACTCACCTACCCATAACCCTTCGGTCTTTTCCAAATTATTTGATGCGCGCCCATAAATTTGCAACCAGTAGTTCAGTCTGTCGAAATCTTGATTTCGAGTGATTCACTAATCTGTGGTAAATCCTGTAAAATCAAGTGTTCAGTATTTATATAAATGGTGTCGGATGTGTTTTGTAAAAATTGACGGATGAGTTGACGTATTTCGTTTGGATTCTCAGTCAAGCTAGAGTCTTGACGCTTAAGGTGTGTAATGTTTTTCTTTTTACAATTTTCTTTCTCGAGCTTGAAAAAAAAGAATTAAATATATCACTTTTATTTATATATTTATGGCGCGCGCGTACTCTAGCTTATTTGACCTCACTATGCGTTAGTTGAGCTAGCAGCTGCTTTTTCACATTATATTCCTAGGAGAGATCAGTATTGTTAACAAGATTATGTTCCATGATTTGAATTTCATTCCCCAGGTCAATTTTATTTTAAATAGACATATCTGTAATATTATGTCCACTAGAATTAAAATGAAGTGAAACTGGATAATAACGATTTTTCTGTCTAGTTTGACGTATTTTAATTCTAGTGGACATAATAATACAGATATGTCTATTTCTGGTGTATGTGTTGTCAATGGCAACGTAAATCAGCTCAGGCGTGTCGAGGAGGAAACTATATTCCGCCTTGGAACTAAAGAACCCCATAGTATTAACAAACAGTTCAACTCATTTGTTGAGCTCACTACCTAAGGCGCGTTATTTGTTCTATTGTAAAAAAAAATTTGTGATTCTAACTTATAGTTCATGCGCGTTCTTACGTTCCTATGTTCTACCTGTACGTTTTAACATTTTCTTCTATGCTATCGATAAAGAGCCATTGCTCGAAACGTCTAGCTATTTTTAATAGTTATTTAGGACTACGATTACCAAATATTATCTTCTATATATGACAGAAATGATTCATCATTCATAGAATCTGGAGAGTAGTTCTGGCTAAACGCTACAACTGGGGTTGGAAGAAAGGGTGACAGTGGAGAATAATCAGGGGGTTCAATGATTTTCTACAATGGGGTGTAGCTTTTATCACCGCCACGTTGGCATATACTTGCTGCATTGTATGCCTGGGTGACTGGGTTTTCGGCCTCAGCTGTCACTGACGGTGACTGTGAATGATGACCCGTGGTACGCAGTGTATTACGAGTCATAACTATATTATTATAACAATCATGCAAAGCAAATGTGTCAGCACAAGATGTGCTCAAGTCAGGCAGATTTTTTAACTTTTCACTGTATTTTGTTTTAAATTGTGGCTTATTCAGTATTACTTACATTGTTGTTCAATAACATAGTTCATCAATTTAAATTTGCTTAACAATTATCTAACGTTAGATAATTATAATACATTATCATTAATTAGTCATATTCAAACTTTGAATTTTCAATTTTGAAACAATAATTTACCCATGCTCAAGAATACTGAAAGTTATTCGCATTCTCTCTTAAAGCGTTGGAACCTGATAGTAGTATTAGTAGAGTTTTTGATTTGTTGGACAAGAAACAACTAGGATAATTCACTCCGACAAAACTGTAACCTAACGTTATGGTTTTGAACACAAAATGACGGTGAATGGTAAGATGATGACACACCGAGCATTGTTTTGTAGTCTCTTCAGATGATGGTTGTGGTGTTGGTGGAAATGGGGCTTTACGTAATGGAACTTGTTTCCATCTCATCAAAGAGGTTCATAATTGGGATTATGCAAATTTAGCGTGTGCCCGAGTGGGTGGACGACTTGCGACTATTAAAGACAGAGCTACTCAGGTAAATGAAACACATAAAGTAATATATATATACTAAGCGTTTATACAAGAACTTTATAGCGAAGTGTGCACTCGTCAGTCGGTATTTTTGATGTTCTATTTTCGTATTTCGGACGAATAGGATAGCCTTTGCGTTACGTATATTTGACCGCCGATTGAAATAAAAGTGCTACCATGGCCGCCGAGGCGTCGTTGAGAGCAAGGACGCCACGTTTTTCCACATAAATAAATAAATAAATTCTATTTTGTCATTATGTCCACTGTTCCAAATACTATGGCTAGGTATTTCACATTGTTAATAGCTTTAAAAAGAGACGTACTGAGCAGCAGATTGCAGATAATAATTTCTGATTATAATGTATTACACATGTTAAAATCCGGGAGTGGCATGATGTATGGCGTTTAAGAAAAAGTTTACATATTCCGCTCCTCATGAAATCCCGTCATTTAATCAATCTAAATCAGAATCAAATACTTCCTTTTTCGATCGGTAAAAACATAAAAACACACACAGTATGTATAAGTGGTGATGGATGGATTTGTATAGCCATATGGCTGCTTCGAAACAATGTTCTCAAACTTTTCAGAGCGTTATAATCAACGGTATAGAGATGTATCGTCTGGTGCAAGTCTCATCTGCTCTCTGTGCGGATATACTATACTATTATTATATTTTAACGCGATCACGTACAATGCGGACTAGCGACATAAATTGCTTTATTTGTTCGTTTATGCCTGAATAATTTATCTAATCATTTGTCGCCAGCACACAACATTGCGGCAATGGTACACATTAAAGCTTTCACAAATAAAAAAGCTGCGTTCCTTGTTATTTGTTAATTGATTTACATTTGGTAATTATGATTGTCATCTGCTTTCAATAAATTTCCTTTGAATACTAGTTGTTTATCAGACATCAAGCACTGCTGAGTGGAAGTAACGGAAGTTGGTGGTTTGGACTACATTATGACAGTGAAATGAATGGAATGGTGTACACAGATCAATCACCTGTTCAGAATGAAGCCATGTTTACCAGCCAGATTCCCCAATCTGGTGATTGCACAGGTTTGGTATTGTGTCAATATTGCCAAGGATAAGGACTATATTTGCCCCAAAATGTCACACAAAAGGAATGTCTTATAGTTGGTTGCTATGGACGTTGCTTTGTTGCTAGGAACAAACCATCTGGTTGCATACCTGTCCCTTTAATGGTTAGCTTGCAGTAAGTCGTATATGTTTTGATTGAGATCACGTGACCGCCACACCATTTTCAAACACTCACGCCATGCTATACATGGTAACATGAAAAGGCACTTTTAAGACAATATTCCAAGATATGTACACAACAAATATAAAATAAAACTTTCAGTTAAATCAAAAGCTAAAAATATCGGTTTACGTTTATGCGGATATGTTTATATATTTTTTGCGCCAATTTGAGGGCCTTAGCACAAACACTTTTGGCCATAAGATAAGGAAATTTGCTACATACATCCAAATAGCAGCAATGCGTTTCTCGTGTCGCATCATAATCATACAATCATACATATAGAAAATACAACTATATGCAGAACACATATTTGAAATACAAGCCACGTAACGCATTAACACATTCATTTCGCACATACAAATACACGGTATTACACAATCCACAATACAACAATCAATCTCGCACGTACATGCTTATCAAAAACAATCAAATACGGAATGCAAATTCCACCTTCCACCTACCTCATTAAAACATCAATCTATAAAAAAAACTACTAAATGAAATACTTATCCTGAAACTTGTTCGGACAACAGGAACATTTATTGAAAAAAACTCATATTTCCAAATTGTCTGAGCCGGAAATTCTGATTTAGTGCCAAAACCATTTTTTATGAAAATAAAAAAGTAAATAATAATAATAATATTCATAACAGAAGCAATATGTTTGTAGTGGCATGTGTAATTATGCCGGCGCTACTGCCTGCCAGGCCTTCCAGGGCAAAACGAACTCGAGAAAATTTTGCAAATGGATGAGAACACGACTTAAAAACATGTTTTGTAATTCTCTTTTAAACGCTAATATGGTTTTATCTCGTGTTTCATTGTGATGAGTTTGGTATATAATCCGCTTCAACGAATTGCAGTTACCCGTGTTCAGTTTTAAGGTCAATGACATCCGCTAAGTATCTTCCTTTACGATATGGCACCAGGCTACATATAATTTAAAGATACATAAAGTGATATTCTTCTGTATACCCGTCCCACAAGACCCACAGATTCACAATCCCCTCAGTTTAACGCTGGTTATATATGGTTATTTAATTTTATTGTGTTGTCATCTGTGCCATTTCAGTATTAGACTATGAATATAACTATTTCTGGAAACAGACCAGCTGCGCTGACAATAATTTCTTCATCTGCCAAGAAGGTATGTCACCACAAGAGCAATTTTTAAACTGAGTTTCCCAAATCGATTACACTGTTGCATTGAAACTACATTTTGAATATGGCAAAATTAATATGAACAGTATATGATTATTTTGAAACAACCTACGTCATATCATTAAGTATTCACGAGGTTGATTATTCCGAGTAAGCAATGACGAGTATTGGATTCTAGTCAATAATTCATATAATGCAAGGAGTTTCTACAATGCGTTTACCTTGTTATTGTAAATATAGATTTCGAATTGTTTATTAGGAAGATTCACGACGTAAATATATATTTCGTTTTAAACATTGTTGTACTAACATTATTTTACGCTTTCGACATGTTGGCTAATTCTAAACATATCTTATCAATATACTACGCATGAAAACGTTATTTTTTATTTATGAGACACGGTCTGAAATTGAATTGTGAACCGATAGATGTGGTGAATTATTTTATCGTATAAATGTAACTTGCGCTGAATCGGGATTTTTTGCCGAAGAGCTAACTGTTATCTGACTATACTTCCAATTGAAGTCACCACGCATGATATATTTTACTCATTTATAATGGGAATGTAATTTAAGAATTTTATACAAACGATATATAAAATCAAAGTTATAAAATCAATGTGACAAATAGCAGTCAAAGTAGTTTGTACTTAAGTATTGAAAAAAACGATTTCACAACTCTGATGAGAAAAGATCTGTATCCTCAATGAAATCACTAGATTCCCCAAAGTAATGAAATAAATGTAATTTGTTTACAGATATCGATGCTAATACTGCATGTCCATATGGTAAGCAATTCGAGACAGAATGTTACAAGTCGAAATTTGATCTTAAACACAGCATTCATCTTATATATTATATGATATTATAATCAAACCACACTGTTGCAAACCACAAGTGAATGTGTGATATTTTTGAATTGTAGGATGGGAAATGGCAGAAGACAACAAGTGTTATTTATATTTAGGATATTCGTTCTCTGGGAACTATTCAGATAGCCTTCAGCATTGCGAAATGTGAGTATAATATTGCTCTTCTAATGTTACATTTCATCATAAATTATATAATTGCAGCTGTATGTGCACACAGGCGATCATTTCTTTTTCAATAGACATATATCAGGTTACTCGTATTTTCTTGTAAAACAATATCTACTTGTTTGTCTTGTCTTGTGGGTCTTATTACCTAATCATATATATACTATTTTTCTAATAATAGGGCTGGGGCATTATTGGTTAACATAAATACCGAACCAATAAACCAGTTTGTTGTTGATCTTATACAGAATTCATGTATTGGCTGTAGTGGTTATTCCTGGATCGGTAAGGTATATATAGTGTTTAACAATATGTTTAACTATGTTTAACATAGTTTTATAATAATGAAACGTCAAATGTGTTGTTGGGTATCTGAGAAAAGAAGCACAAAATAAAAGAACAATTACACTGTGTTTCACCCCACTGTTATACACAATATGAGATAATAATAACAAGTAAAAAATTCAAGTCACACATGTCACATGTCACCCGTGATATTCATCCATGTCGTATTTTATATTCCAGGTAATTTAGTTGATGATCCAAATGTCCAATTTGAAAACTGGGCGGTCGACAATATTACACTTTCGGAGAAGTGTTCATCCATCGATATTACAGAAGGGGTTTGGTATACAAAGAATTGTACAGAGACTCTTTCATTTGTGTGTTCTATGTCTGCCTTCACATAGAAACACCATTGCAGTATTTAACAATATTGCAACTAAATATATCACCATATCCTATGTTTGTGTATTGATATACGGTGAGAATATTAAAAGAAGCATATTTCAACATCAAAATCACCTATTCACAATATTGTCAGTCTTTGTATTGACGTTCAACGACTGTGGATTACGTAGGAGTTTACGTAGTGAATATGATAGCATTCAGGCGGTGTCAAACAACTTGAATGACATCCAACGATAAGTAAAACTGAATAACAACTTTGTTACTAACAGAGAATGATGGAAGTCTTAAAAATATCACCGCACAAGGAGGATGATATGAAATATGGAATAATCGCACAGAACGAAAGCAGTCTCGAAAAAAACTTATATTTAGATGCAAAGAAACAAGCTAAAAAACACGCAAATGAAACTACCTATATGTTAGTAGTCTTCAAGTGAGTAAAGACGATGATACTGATGTACAAATATGGTACAAAGCGCAGCACATTTGAATGAGATTTTGTTCAACAAACCTCCATAAACATTTCCACAAGTTTTAATATCCGGGTCTTTGAGCAGACAAACTATTTTTTTGAATAAACACAGCAAAACGAATGTCAAATGATTCAATATTCTGAGACTTTTCATAACAGTCAAAATTACTTCAGGCAATTGTGAATAGATATTCAGTTATCCCTCAAGTTCCCTCCTTTTAGGAATTACATATAGTTTTAAAGAATTTAGGTTTGAACGCATTCTAAAGTCACAATATCTGGTAATTTCAACACAGATTTAAATGACCCTGACCTCTAACCACGTCGTACCTTTGCTGATCTTGCCCCGCCTCTTGATTTTGATAGCTTCTCTTAATTTCATCAAAAGTGAAGCGTAATAGGCTCATATAATTGTGGTACCCATTACCAGGAAATTTTTCATCACTACTCCGTCCTGGTCCCAGAAGACTGTGAGCATGACCTTGCCAGTGGAGGGCTGCATCCTTGCCTTCTTTGGAGGTGGTGAGCCCAAGTGCTTCCACTGCATTGACTGAGTTTTACTCTCTGAATCATAGTGTTGACCCACTTTTCATCCTGTGTAATTAGTCTTTTGAAAAACTTTGACTCATCTTCTTGGCACATCTGCAAATTCGCCTTCAAGCACTTCTGGAAAGGTGTGAGCAACCTGGGAATTCATCTGACAGACACCATATGCATATGCAAATGGTCATGAATGACAGTTTCCACAGACCCTGTACTAATCTATTTGGCGAACAGTAATGCGTCGATCTTTCGAAATGGCTGCCTCAACTTGACGGATATAAGAGGGTCTGGGAGCTGTTTCCACAATCTTCCGGCCATGTTTGAATTTACTTTACAATGCCAGCGTTTTACGAGGTCATATGATGGGGCATCATCACCACACGTTTCTTTCATTTTATCAAAAGTCTCATTTGGTGTGCGTCCTTTCAAATACAAAAACCGGATCACTGCGCGACACTCAACTGGCTTCATTTCACACCTGACTCAGTTCAAACACCTGTAAATCAGAAACCACAATAAGTTCAGAGCTATTTTTGCAACATAACCCATAGAGATGTAAATCATTACACAGATCTAGATCAGACAACTGAAAGTGGGTCAGGGGCATTACTTGTTGAACGCCCCTCGTACTCCCTAAATTGTGAACAAATAATTCTCCCGCCAACATCACACACATTTATACTGTAGCGTATATATTATTCTGATACTGTTCTAAAACAATCTCCATATTTTATAAAGCGGATATAGCTGTGAGTTTCTGTTTAAATATAAAAAACAACGATGACCGAATCTTACCGAATTATTGTTTATGACCTCTCAAGATGATAACGTATATGCTTCCATGATCAGTGACTACATTTCGGCGATGGCCATCACAAAGTGACAGTAATGACACAGAAAATGCTTTATTAAAAATAAAAGCTGGAGAGAAAAGATCGGCAGTTACAGCTATTGACGTTTTTAAAAAGCAATATGGACGAACACATTTATTTTTTTATTATTGCTGTTCAATACCCCACTGTAGACCAAATTGAACTAAATTGTTTATAATGAAAAAAAAATACTTTTGCTGCTAACACACAACATTTATTCAACAACAAAAAATCAGAACGGCTTATACACGGTGATTGTTATTGTGTGTACCAAAAAAACTAGTTCACGTGCGTATCAGAACTTCATTGTTACATCAAACCAGTGCATAGTTGTGCTTCAAGAACAGAGCTTTAGTTTCTCGATAAATCATTGCCCCCATGTATTCATCATATCATAAATTATCGAAAAATTATAATACAAATCGCATGTTCTCGTCCATATTGCATCTCTGAATGTCTCTATTATCTCACGCAGCTCCTACTTTGTTATTCACCTACAAATATCCTCCCCGTACGATGCATGATTATATTTGATTGTTAATTCATTGGACCCCGGGAAGTGGTCCCGATTTGCATATTTAATTCCGGGATATTCACAAATTGTGTTGATTCTGTCATGATTTATATTTCCGTGTATTTAGTTGAGGCCACTTTTAGCAGTTATAGCGACTTTCACTGATGACCCTGGATAATCCACACCTGCTCACAATTTGTTATGATCATGTTCATTTGCATGTTAGTGATATTAGTAAGTAGACAACTGGCAGATATAATTGACGACTATGAAATGTTGTTCTAATACTTGTGGCGCCGAACTTACGGGTTCATGTAGAAGTTATTTCCCGACATAGGGGGCGATTAATCTATAGATATGACGTGCTATATACTTCGTGTGATTGGCTGTGTGCGAGTCGAATGTGCGGAAGCGTTTTATGGTTTTTATACTCTCTTGTAATTGGCTAAGAGTTAAGAAGTGAATAGAGCTGATCTCAGTTAGTATTGGCAAGCTCACCATAAGGAAAGAGTCTTGACAGAGAGCCAGTTCCGACGTGGCGCTGAGATGAGAGGTTGAAACGATACGATTCTCTGTGTGTTTTTGTTCATTGAAAAAGTCGCGAATTCCCCGATCATTGGTACCTGACTTGAAAGTTTAATAATACGATAAGTAAGCCATTATAGTACATAATGACCTAACCCAGGAACATATTTTCTGTTTATATTTACCTATAATGTACAAATTGTAACTTTATTAGTTTTTTTTATCATAAGTTGTTGATAATAAATAAAGGAGTTGTTACACACATGTTAGTTTAAAAACAATATTGTCAAATCATAGTCTGGCATTTAATATACCAAAGAACAACAATACTGATCACAGGAAATTTACAAAGAGCTTTTCTGTGTTGAGGACATCAACTGGTGAAGCATTCATTCTTACTAAAACCAGACTTTTATTATCTCTTGTTTCGCGAACCCGCCGAATGAACAGGAGCCAAAATTAAATAAAAATAAAATTTTATTTCAGCGTAATTTCTCGTGCCCGCCGACTTGTGAGTGCAAACAATTGCTCAAAGGAATTATTTTTATCTTCATTAATTTTCCGCCCGCCGCCTAACAAATCCAAGTTGCATTTTTGTGGGAGTATCATGATCGAGTACTTTATGCGCGTTGGTTGACAGTGAATCTCGGGTATTGACCTCTCTGCGTGCTGCTTGCGAATACTAGGCGAACATGGCGGCGGCGTGGTTTGTGGTGATACGCCTGAAACTCTTTCGTCAAAAACCGAGAAATCCCTCATTAATGCTGAAAACTGCCAACCAGGTTATACATGGAATACAATTTTATATCCTTTCTTCTCACCGATCAATTATATCACTTACAATTCTTTGAGAATCACACAAATCTAATGGGAAAAAAAAACAATTAATTTAATTTTTTCCGCCCTCCTCTAAATCAGCAACTTAAATTTCATTGAGACTTCAAGATTGAGTTTGTATAAAGTTACTGCTGAAAATGCGTTAATAATTAGACAAATTAGGTTGTCATTGCATTGGTCGTGATAAATTGCCCCAAATAATATATGTATATAATTGGAAAACATGTTCTACATGTGTCTGTGGACTGAAAAGCACTGCTGATTATGTACTTGTGGAGTTGAGATCTGAAAAAAGTTCTTTATATAGAAACATGGTATAACCTATAAAGTACTAAAAATGGCTAATTAATGAACAAATTAAGTACTTTATAAAGCACTAATGGAACACGTACACACAGTATAAAGTTCATAAACTGTCTGCAATGCCATTTGATACACAATTACTTTGCTGCAATGGGTCTATTCGTGCCTCCAGCAGACGAATCTGTGCTGAGGTAATATCACATTCAATTGTTGGTACCTCAACATTTGGAATATCGTCAGCAGCTGGAGTAGGACCTTCCCAGTCTATTCCATAAGATGATAATTCTGTCTGCAAAATGAAATTTAAAGAACATAAATTGTGACTTTCACACAATTCAGAGACAAAGTTAATTAAAAAAATGTTAATTATCAAGTTAATGCCCATAATATTCAGAGATACTGCCCAAATTATCACAATAGCAGATCATCCGGGGGCACAATTTGCTCTTCTAACAGATAATATATTGAATCATAGTGTTTTGTGAGATTTATGTCCAAACAGAAAGAAGCTGGTGAACACTAAGGTCAATGATACATCGACATTTTCAGTCATTAGATGACTCCATAGATATTATCTGTGTTTAATACTTACATGTGTGGTAGGTTCAAATGTCTTCTTATACGTGGTAAATACACATAATGTAAACAGAATAAATGCATATCATTACATGAATTAAAAAGACCTTGGTCTTCGAGAGCATAAAATGTATTATAAAATACATAAAAGCACCCACAAAATACATCACGCCATAAGCGCTCAGTGCATTGATTATGTAAACTTTTTCCTGTGATATGACTACTTCTCCCAGGTTCCCTGTCTGGATGCGGAAGCATATACTTTGCAATTTCAACGTTTGGTGTATTTACACAGTACCAGGTACACTAGTATAATGTGCGGTGTGTTTACACAGTACCAGGTACACCCGTATAATGCGTGGTGTATTTACATAGTACCAAGGACACCCGTATAATGCGTGGTGTATTTACACAGTACCAGGTACATCAGTATAATGTATAGTGTATTTACACTAGTATGATGTATGGTGTATTTACACAGTACCAGGTACACCCGTATAATGCGTGGTGTATTTACACAGTATCAGGTACACCCGTATAATGCGTGGTGTATTTACACAGTACCAGGTACACCCGTATAATGCGTGGTGTATTTACACAGAACCAGGTACACCCGTAAAATGTGTGGTGTATTTACACAGTACCAGGTACACCAGTATAATGCGTGGTGTGTTTACACAGTACCAGATACACCAGTATAATGTGTGATGTTTTTACACAGTACCAGGTACACCAGTATAATGTGTGGTGTGTTTACACAGTACCAGGTACACCCGTATAATGCGTGGTGTATTT